CGGCTGCACACCCCCGCCCCCACGCCCTCCCCCCCCCCCTTTGTTTTTGCCTCCCCTCCCACCTCCCCTTTGCCGCCTTATTGCAACACCCCCTTCCCTCCCCGCCCTACTAGCCCCCACCGCGCCACGACCAGCACCGCCACCAACTCCCCCGACCCCGACGCCCCGCTCATCCCGCTGCAGTCTCTCTGCCAGATGCCGATCGGTGTGCTCACGCCAGTCCGCCGCACTGACCTCCTTGCCGCACTCAGTGCATTTGAGGGAGGACCCAGACGCCGCGGCGCCAGCACTCCCGCCATGTCCGTGAGACGTATCATCGTCTTCCTGGTCAAGGTCGATCTCGATGCGGCTCTGGTCTGCCGCTGCTGCTGCTGCTGCTGCTGCCGCTGGGATGGGCGCGGCGGTGCGCATCTTCTTGCTGGCGAAGGAGGCGGAGGCGCTCTCCGCGGCAGCCTCACTCTTTCTGGCCTCGGGCTCGGCAGGGCGTTTGGGAGCACGCTGCTGCTTCTGTAAGTTGGATGAGTGGTGGTCTTTGGCCGGTGCCGGTGCTGCTGCTGCCGTCGCTGCGGCAGGTTTGAAGTAGGACGTGATGGATGCGGTCTGGGAGTCGATGTCCTCAAAGTCTGTATATATCACAAATGGACAAGGGAGGCGGTGGCAACAGTGACTGACACTAATGGATGGATGTGTATCGAGGGCTCACCCTGTGCGCCCATGCCGATTCTGCTGCACGGGAGCAGCTCGTCCTCGGGCAGCTTGCGCAGCAGCGCCAGGCCGGCAGCCACCAATTCGTCCTTCGACAACAGACCATGAGGATCCTTGCCTGCACCAACAAACGGACAGACAAACACACCACATACGAGCAACAAACAAAAGGGCCTGTTGATGCATACCTCTTGGCATCGGCCCCGACCGCGAGCGCGCCGCACCGGAGAGGCCGCGGTGCTGCGCCATGAGGGTCTTGGCACGCCGCCTGTGCGCCTCCGTGTCGGCCTGCATCCGATCACACACCTCCTCCGCCAACACACCCAGCCACCGCTCCAGCTGCACTCACAGACAGGCCACACAGCACACACAGAGGGATCACCCTGCCTGCCGGCCTGCCTGCCTGCCTGCGTGTTTGTGTTTGTCTGTGGACACTCGCTTACGTCTTCCATCTTCCTCACGGGCCGGAAGCTCTTGAAGGCGAGGAGGCTTTTGGGCTTCAGGTTGGGACTGACCTGCTCGTCGTCCATCCCCCGACACACGCGCCACAGCCAGGTGCCCGTCCCGTCGTTGAAGGTGCGCTTCAGCTCCTCCAGGCTGTGGGCCTGCAGGTCTTTTGCCGTCGTGGCGTCGGGAAAGACGCGAGAGACGGCCTCGCCCAGTTTGCCGCCCAGGCCTCGGACATCGCGCAGAGGGAGATGACCCATCATGTCGTCGATACTGCTCGTCGGCACCAATGTCTGCGGACAGGCAGCGAGGGAGGGGGAGGGAGGGGTCAGGGAGAATTGTGGGCAACCCATTCGTCGGTACCTGTCGGTTGGGTTTGTGTTTGGCGCTAGCCTGCTTGGACAGCATCTTATTGTGAGATATCCCTGACACACGCCACAAACAAATAAAGACACACACGTCCCCCTGGCGGCGTGCACGGGCAGTATATATACGCAGCTTTCCTGCATACCAGCTGAGACGGTGAATTGCGTCTCGTCAAGGACGGCCTTGCGCAGCCGTGCAATGAGCACCGCCCCCACAACGAGTGACGCCTCGGGGCTGTCGAGCGACACCTTATCCACATCTAACACGCTACCATCTACCTGCACAGCGCCACACCACACACACCAGACACACCAACCAGACAGACAATACGCCCAACATCTGGAGTGAGTGAGTGCCTCACGTACCGCCAGGAGGGTGGAGTCCCTGGTCCCCTCTGCGTCCACCAACTCGGCCAGTGACGGCCCTCCGCCACCCACCACACGCTTCAGCTCAGCCTGCACCTGCTGCGTCAGGTCCAAGTACGCCTCGTCAATCGAAGCACGCTCCACCTGCCACAGCGAGCACAAGCCGGCACGGCACGGCACGGCACGGCACACAAAAGGTAGGTCTTGATGTCTGCCTTTGCAGGGGTATGTCAATGTCTGCTGTGCACCTTCGGGCAGTGTCGTGAGAAAATGGCCATGATTTCTGCCGATGCGGTGCGATAGCGGTCCAGCGACACCTTCTCCCTCTGCCGGTCGTGGCGGTCCGCGGGGTCGTCGCTACCGGGGTGCCTGCGTCAACACACAGAGCACACACACCACACACACACACACAGTGCGATGGCCCCATCAATCCATCCATCCATCCATCCATCCGTCCGTCTACCGTCCCCCCGCCCACCGTCCATCTGAGCTGATGGTCTCGACGTGCACCAGCACCAGGTCAGGGCACTTGCCCTTGGCTACGGCCGTGCGGTCGCCTCGCCTGACGCCAGCTGCCCGCGCTGGATAGTTGACCGCTATGAGTCCATCCCACTGCTGAACCGCTAGAGGCACGTCGCGAGCAATGTTGAGACGCCGATGCTCCACTTGGCAGTAAAAGGCGTCCAGATCCTGGTGCAAAAGAAAAACAAGGCAGGACTTCACCACTGGTTAGTTCATCTCACAGATATGCTCACGAGGTGTGCGACGACTCGGTTCAGCGAGCGGCCTCCGGCCTGCCGCCCTCCAGCTGGCTGGCTCATGCCTCGAAGGACCTCAGGACGGGCCTCCTCCCGGACAAGCTGTCGAGCTCAGAAACTGAGACCCATCAAAACCATCAGTAGGAGTCAAATCGCACCTGCTGCCGCACCACTGATGCTATTCACACTCACAGCAAGGCCGCATCTCGCAAGGTTCACCTCATCCCATCTGCGAGCTTAAAGCTTGGATCGTTTCTCCTGTTTCCAGCTCTCTGGCCTGCGAAGGCCATTCGTGTGAACCCGCTTGAGCACTGGAGTAGTCCCCAATCGCTTATCATCCCTTTCATCTTGCGAGGTAGCGGCAGGTGTTGCGTGCGGACGCTTGGAGGAGGGCGGCGGCGTGAGGAGGGTACCGAGGGCGATGAGCGCCGTGGACAAAGTCAGCACTGCGCAAGAAGTACGACTGAGGGCGGCCAAATCGTCCAGAAGACATCACAAGCAGCAGGAAAAGGCACGACTCGTCTATCGGGCCAAGGACAAGCCGACTGAGGCTGTCCAGGCATCCACTGTTTGCGACTCACCCCAGTCCGCTCACAGCAAGACGCCTCCCACCACTCCTGACAGCAGTGATGGCGGCCGGGAGCCAGGTCCTGCGGTGGTGAACGGCGTGGGCGCCGACGACGCGACGACAGCCACAGCCACAGCCAAGAAGAAGACGGGAGGGCGGCGGCACAAGCAGCCCAAGCCTATAGCCGTCACTCTGCGCCTGTCGGGCACTCCCAGACCCAAGGACAGGGAACAGGAGGACGTTACTCCCGCTCAGCACAGTCATCTGGCGGAGAGCGACGCCCACGTGTCAGAGAGCGACGCCAACCCATCGGCTACGGCTGCTGCGTGGGGCGGCATCACTGACGCAGTGGGCAGCTTCATCTCGGGCACGTTTGGCGGACTTTTTGCGCACAAGGGGCAGGACGACCACACCGATATGGCGACCAACCAAGGTGCTGATGCCCAGCCGCATCACCAGCAAGGGCAGCAGGAGCCGGGCATGCAGAAGTCTAGTTCTGGCGTGCGGGAGAGGGAGAGGGGGAGGGGTGAGAGGGCCAAGCCCGAGAGCGGGGAGAGCTCTACCAACGAGGCAGCCGCCAAGACCACCCGTCCCCCCAAGGTCAAGCGGGCCACCATATCCCTCGTCGGCAAGGGCAAGCCCACCCCACCGCCCGACAACAACACACCATCATCCAAGGGTGCTGACAAGCCCGCTGTCCTTCAGAACGGCACTGCTCCCGCTCTCAAGAAGTCGCAGCAGCGGCTGTGTGACGAAGTGGCAGCCGAGACCCAAGCGAAGGAGTCCAGTAGGGTCAACGGGGAGCACAGCACCTTGGGCGAGAGTGGAGCCAAGGAGGCCAAGTCGGATGGGGGGCCTTCTCGCACCGACGACGACCCCCCGCCGCAGCCATCCCCATCGCAATCGCAGCCCCCAGCAGGAGACGAGTCGCGTGTGAGGTCGTCGCCGAAGCGCCCCCCCGGCCCCGCTGGCCTGTTGCGTGCCGCCGTGTCGACGCTTAAGGAGCCTCCAGCCGCCCGTGAGAGGCCGCACATGTCTGCTTCAGCTGCTGGTGCGAAGGGTGTGACGTCCCAGCCGTTTGCTGCCCCTGAGACGACGACCCCTGTGACCCTCCCCCCCGCCCCCTTCCTCGCCCCAGAGGTGTCAGTGGCAGACCCGGCCAAGCCCGCCACTTCCGCGTCAGGCAAAGACTCGCCGACCAATGCTGGTGCTGGTGGTCGCAAGACGCGTCCGGCGGGGGTGTATGTGCCGCCCCACGTGCGTCGAGAGAGGGAGCGGGCCAGGGAGAGGGAGCTGGAGAGGGAGAGGGAGTTGGAGAGAGAGAGGGAGTTGGAGCTGGAGCTGGAGAGGGAGCGGGAGAGAGAGAGGCAGTGCGCGAATGACTTGGGTGGTCGCTGTGGCGAGGACAGCGCCGCAGATGCCGATGGTGGTAGTAGGGATGGGGGCGATGAGAGGCCGAGCAGCGCTCTGCCGCACAGCAAGTCCGCCAATGCGTCGCCCGAGAGACCGCTCAAGGGCATGCAAGGTGAGGCGAAGCGCAACACACACAATGCCACTGGACTTATGTGTCGTCTGTGGATGGATGGATGTGTCAGGCGGTGGTTCGAGTAGTGGTGAGGGGTCGCCGTCGTCTTGTCGCCGGGCTGAGGGGGCATCGCACTCGCACAGACGAAGGCGGGGCAAACTCAGGGTAACAGACAGACAGACAGACAGACAGACAAGAGCCCACACTGGAGACCCATTTCCCTCTTCTGTGTGTGTGTGTGTGGTGTCTGTGTGATTGGATGGATGCAGGCGTATTCTGACGGTTCTGACGTGAGCGACGGTGGTCGGTCCTCCAAGGACGCAGAGAACGGCGATGATCTGCACTGGCCCTTCAGATGCGCCAGACAGATACGGGTGCGGACGGACGGACGACCGGACGACACAACACACACACACGTGTCACATCAACTGGCTTCTCAATCAATGCGTGTGTGTGCGTGTGTGTGCAGGATAGTCGTGACATAGATATGGAGCGGCTGGCTCGCAAGTTCGAACCTGTCGACTTCGGCGTGCCGCAGCACCAGATACTCGAGATAGCGGTGCGTCCGCCAACTCTCACGGATGCCGTCAACACACAGCCATCTGTGTGTGCTGTGTGCTGTGTGCTGTGTGTGTGGCCCACAGCCGTTGGAGCCGGGAGTGTTGCGCAGTCAGATTGTGTCAGCGTTGACGAGCAACCTGGGCATCCGTATATCTGACTACACCTTCAACCTAGCAGACGACACACACGCACTCGTAAGCAAGCTGACAACCAAACACACACGCACACACACGCACACACACGCACACACACGTTTGCCTGTTGCCTATGGGGGGACGGTGCATATTGATTGCATGGGTGTGTGTCGCTGGATTTGGATGGATGAATGCAGGTAGCATTTCGTACGTTGGGTGACTGCCAGAAGGTCCTGGACAAGTGGTCGCATCCCGAGTGGAACGTCACGCCACTCACACAAGCCAGCAACGTATCCAAAGCAAAGTAAGACAGGGTCACACAACGAACACACAAGGTGAGGATTGCAGAATGATTCATGCTGTCTTGTGTCGCGGCCATGGTCAGGTACAACGAGTTGCGCCCGCAGCCGCGCCCCGAGACCACTCTCACAGTGGCACGGCGGCTCATCACCAGCCACCTCAACGCATCCATGTACGCCAGAACCAACCTCTGTGCAGTGCATCTCACACCCACCCCACACACTAACCCATACACTTGTCTCCCTGCCTGCCCGCCTGCCTGCCTGTGTGTGTTGGTGAAGGCGCAAGGAGCATCTGGAGGAGGAGAAGGCCTTCCGCGAGCGCACACGACAGGAGAAACACAAGGACAAACAGCCCAAGGTGAGTCTGCCCACAGAGGCCGACCACAACACAACACAACACAACAATCTGTGTCGTGTTGTGTTGTGTTGTGTGGCTTGTGTCAGAAGGCGATTCGTGACGCCTGGAGCAGCGGGTCGGAGAGCGGCGACAACGACACGGCCGACTGACTGACTGACTCTCTTCCACCCACTCAGCCCCCCTGCCTCCCTGGACGACGTGTGTGTGTATTCATGACGCGAGCTGGTCACCGGGCCGTCCATCTCTGTCTGTGTGTGTGTCTATCTCTACCTAACTCTCATATGACGAATTGGCGACCGGGGGTGGATGTCTCGATGGATGTGTGATTTGTGGGCGGGTGAGGTGGACTGACTGACTGATTGAGACGATGGACTGATTGAGTTGCCGACAGACACTGCGTGCCTGAGAGATGACAGCGAACGGACACACCGAAACCTTCCATCCATCGCGACCGTACCACAACACTTCACCCTTCTCTGTGTCCGTCCGAAAAGCATCTGTGTGGTATGGATAATTCGTGAGCGCACTGGCTGGCCCAGAAATCACTCAAAAGGAACCGCAGGCAGACGGCCCCAACCCATGGTAGGTATGTCCCCGTCCCTTAATCATGGTGTCGGCACAAAGAAAAGTAGATGGATGGATGGATGGTGCTCACTTCCGGCTGGCTGCGGTGTGCGGCTTGGTCGCCTTGCCCTTCGCCCATGAGGCCCGCCGCTGCACCGCAGTGCTGGACAGGAGGGTCACACCGGCCTCCTTCAAGTTGTTCCGCATGACGTCCATGGTGTCCTTGGCCACACCGGCCGTCGCGTCTTCAACCATGTATGTGTGGAAGCCGTAGTTGGCCGCGTCGACGGCTGTGCTGCCCACACAATAGTCCATCGCCAGTCCCTGCGCACAGCCACAACACAAATCATGAGAAAGACGCTTTCTTCCGCGCCGCCTCTCCCCCCCTCTCTCTCTCTGTCGCTCACTCAACTCACCATGACGTAGACGGAGCGTATGCCGCTCGCCTTCAGCTGCTCCAGCAGCCCGGTCGGCTCGGGCTCGAAGTTGGCAGTGGGTGGCGACGTACCGAACCCACTATAGGCGTCTGCTCTTTCCGCTGACCCTTGAGGATGATGTGGTCCGTCGGCTGCCGCTTCAGGTCGGGATGAAAAGCTGCACCCACCGAATGCGCTATGCAGTGGGGCGGCCAGAGCACCTGCCGGCCCATGTCGTCCGGGAGGTCGACGAGTGTCACGCCGATGTCTTTGCTGGTCTTGCCCCTGTGTTGTGTGTAGAAGGAGACATGGTCGATGGGGTGAAAGTCGGCAGTGAGGAACACCTCGTCGAAGAATGGAAGGCTTCTGAGCGTGTTGATGGTGGGGATGATGTCCAGGGAGCCTTTGACCTACATGGCATATGCATGCACCACAGTGGCCGCAAAGAAACACAGACAGACGCAGATGCGCACCCACCATCAGCGAGCCGTCGGGTTCGCAGAAATCCTTCTGCAGATCCACAATTATGAGCGCCACCTTGCCGTTGCCCGTGTCCTCATCCATCCCCTCCAGCTCATCGACCTCGGCGAAGGCGGCGGCCTCCTCCGGCCGGAAGCCGAAGCCGCACGTGTCGGAGGAGCCCTCACACCCCTCGTCGGCATCAGAGACCAGGGGAATGTCCGATGCAAACAGAGGAGGCACCAGAGGAAGCACCAGCAGCGCGAAAGCAACATGGCGGAGAACGGGGAGAGCCATTTTGCTGCCCTGCTTTCCGACGGATTTTGGTGGTCCCTGCGCCTGCGCCAAGCAACGACGTGCTTTCCTGCCTTCCTACCCCTCGTGTAAATCGACGGTGCGAGCTTGGCCAGAACTGTCGATTGACACCGTCTTTGCCGGGAAAGAGGAGGTGGAGCGTGTCGCGTTTTCATTCGCTGATGGCACTGCAGCTCGTGCCAGGTTAGATCAGACGAACACTTCAGACAAGCACGCAACACGACACGCACAGACAGAGAGGCATACACAGATGCCGTCCAGATCTGTGTGTATTGCCGTGCGCTCTTGTCCATCTGCAGACAAAGGTGGCCGTGACGCCTTGAAGTGTCTGATCGTTGCCGAAACACTCGGAGTCAAAGTGCAGCTGGCGACTGACAAGGCCGCTGGTGAGTGAGGCACGTTCCTGTCGCGTCACAAGCAACGCAGGCAGCTGATGATGACTAGGCTGGCAGATATCCACCCCTTTCTGTCGATGTGTCTGTCAGGTGCATTCCCGGAGCGGCCGCTGCTGCTGGGTCCTGATGAACTGCAGCTCTTCTCGCCACTCGCCATCTGCAGGTCACACACACGTGCAACCAAACCACGGCCACGGAATCGCCCTTCTCTGCACAGCACAGAATGGACTGGACTGGTCTGTGTACTGTGTCCTACAGGTATCTGGGGCTGGCGAGCGGCACAAGCAGGCCGGAGGGTCTGAAGCTCATCGGTGACGTTTCGTCCGACAAGGCGGCGCTGGAGGACTTCCTCTACTGGGCGCTGTTTACACTGCAGCCAGCTCTCGATAAGCCGACCTCTCAGGCACGCAAGGCAACAACCAACATGCACAACGTCACGCGCCATTCGCTGTGTTGGTGTGTGATGGTGCAGGCGGCATCTGAGGCTCTGGAGTCTCTGGAAGCTCGGCTGTCAGGGGGCGGCGAGTATTTGTTCAAAGTGAGCGCCAGATAGGTGCTGTGCCACCCCACCGATTGTCTCGTCCATTGCTGTCCTTCATCGATGCACGATGCTGTTTGTTTCCCAGACCTTCACTTTGGCTGACATATTCGTGTGGGTCGCCATAACGAGGAGCCGCCTGCCGTCCCTCTCATCGCTCCCGCGGCTGGAGGCCTGGAACGGCCGAATCGCACAGCTGCCGGCGGTGCAGAGGGCCGTACAAGCCCTGCAGAACATCCAGACACCGGTCAGCCACCCTGTCACATCACACGCATCCACCGGCCCACACACACTCTCCCACGAGTCTGTGTGTGAAATGGGAGTGCAGACGAGGCCACTAGCAGCATCAGCTGGTGCGATCAATGGCGTCGCTTTGGCGAGAAGAGAGCGTCGCGGCGGTCGGTACGCCATCACGACGGCCATCAACTACACCAACGGCCCGCCCCACATGGGCCACGCCTACGAGGCCGTGACGTCCGACGTCATCGCCAGGTACCACCGCATCTACGGCAGGAGGGTCTTCTTCCTCACGGGAACCGACGAGCACGGACAGAAGATCGCCAACACGGCCGAGAAGATGGACAAGACGCCCATCGAAATATGCGACCTCTACGCACAGGGCTTCCAGGTGAGGTGAGGGGCGCTGCGGATCCGATCCGCCGACAGACAGAGAGAGGGTGGATTGATTGGATTGGCGTGTTGTTTGGTGCAGGATCTGAATGCGCGTCTGTACGTGTCGAATGACTTTTACGTCCGGACGTCGTCGGCCAAGCACAAGAAGGTGGCCCAGCTGGTGTGGGAGAAGGCCGTCGAAGCCGGCGACATATACCTCGACAAGTCAGCAAAGGACTCACTGAACGAGCCACCCACCCCACCCTACACACACATCTTTCTATGCATATCCACAAATAAAAGAATGAGAGCGCTGTCAATTCTCCCTCTCTCCCCCTCTCCGTGTGTGGGTTCGTATGTTCGTGTGTTGTGCAGTTACGAGGGATGGTACAATGTGCGTGAGGAGACGTTTGTGACGGAGAACGAGGCCAAGGCTCTGGACTTCAAGGACCCCTCCACAGGGCTGCCACTCAAGCGCATGCAGGAGCCATCCTACTTCTTCAGAATGTCCAAGTACCATGAGAGGCTCGTGCAGCACATCAAGGTGACCCCCACAGACCCACACACTGGATGGAGCGTGTGTGTGGATGTGTCTGCCCCTCTCTCTCTCTCTCTCTCTCTGTGTGTGTGTGTGTGTGTGGCTTTGCTGTGTGTCAGTCGAATCCCTCCTTCATCAACCCGCCGATCAGGCGCAACGAAATACTCGCAAGGCTGGAGGTCAGTCGGCGCCCAACACGACGCGGGACAGAGAATCTCGTACGCTGCCGTCTGTCTGTCTGTTGTGCGTGTGTTGTGTTGTGTTGTATGCTGCAGGAGGGTCTTGCAGATTTGTCGATCAGCCGGACGACCTTCAGCTGGGGCGTGGAGGTGCCCGGGGCGCCCGGGCACGTCATGTACGTCTGGTTCGACGCACTCACCAACTACCTCTCAGGTAAAGCGAGGCGACAGAGAGGGAGCGGAGCCGACACGACACCGTACCACAACAGCCTCCCTCCCCCTCTGTGTTTGTGTGTGTCTTTGTGCGTGTGCGTGTGTGGAGGTATGGATTGGCCTGATGGTGCGAACAAGGACTTCTGGCCGGCGAATGTGCACGTCATCGGCAAGGACATTGTGTGGTTTCACACGGTCATCTGGCCCTGCATGCTCATGAGCACCGGCATCCCGCTGCCAGGTAAGTAAGGTACTCCCGTGTATGTGACGCAATCAGACAGACAGACAGGCAGACCAACAGACGGCCACACACACACACACACACACACACGCATATGACCTGACGTGTGGTGTGTGCCGACAGAGAGTGTGTTTGCGCATGGGTTCGTCCATGCGGCTGACGGCCGGAAGATGTCCAAGAGCTTCGGCAATGTGGTGGACCCCAACCACTTGCTGGACAAGTACCCCGCTGACACTTTCAGATTCTTCCTCGTTCGAGAAGCCAAGTATGTAACGTGACCATCCCCCCTCCCCTAACACACACGCATTTACTAACTCTCTCTCTCTCTCTCTCTCTGTGTGTGTGTGTGTGTGTGTGTGTTAGGTATGGGACCGATCTGCCCTTTTCCGAGGACGCGCTGATCGACCACCATAATGCGGTGTTGGCTGACACGCTGGGCAACCTGGTGCACCGAGGCGTCAACCTCTGCAAAAAGAACTGCGATGTAGGTGTCGCACGGGCCGTCAGCAGCAGCAGCAGCATCCTCATGCACGTCCACACGCCGCCCATGGACACCTTGAAGCGAACCGCTTTGTGTGTGTGTGTGTGTGTGTGTGTGTTGGTGATGTGTGCAGGGCAAAGTGCCGGCCGTTGCGCCAGACATGCCGTCGGGGGCGGGGCCGTTTGACCTCGACGAGCTGAAGGAAGGTCAGACAGAGGGAAGAGTCGACTGCATGAATGCGCCGAAAATGGTTTGTGTGTGTGTGCGCGCGCGTGTGTGTGTGTGTGTGTGTTCACTCCATCCATCGGTCAGAGACGGATCGTCTGATGGATGAGTTCTGCCTGCAGGAGGCACTCGACGCCGTCGTGGAAGCGTGCAAGTACGTCAAACACACACACACACACACACGGGCGCGGGCAGCCTGGATGATGCATCTATCTGTTCGTGTGTGGGTTCTGCCCAGCAAGACCAACAAGTACCTTCAGGACCGCGCGCCTTGGGCCATCAAGGAAGCCGACGAAAGAGCCGCGGTAAGACCACACACGCATGGCATGGCCGCCAAGACATGTATCAGTGACTGACACGTTGATGCCCCTCTGCCCTCACTGTCTGGTCTGCAGGTGGTGCGCACGGTGCTTGAGGCCGTGTACGTGTTGGCCCACTTCTTCGAGCCCACCATCCCACAGGCAGCCACCAGGATATTCGACAAACTCAACACGCCAAAGAAAGCCATCAAGTGACTGACACTTGATAACACACATATACACAGGAAAAACGACTGTTTATGTCTGTCTGTGTCGGTGTGCTTCTCGCAGGGATCTGTCGTGCGCCTTCGACAACTTGTCCCCCGGCACGGCAGTGGCGGTGGGCGAGGTGCTCTTCGAGAAACTCAAAGTCAGGACCGTCGACATCCCCCTGCAAAAGGTCAAACGTCACTCAGTCGCGCAGAAAAGGCGACACACGCAGGAACGAACAGGATCCCACGAGTGTCCATGTGTGTGTGGGGGAGGGGACGGCAGGTGGAGATCCGTGTGGGCGAGGTCAAGTCGGTGAAACCCCACCCCCAGGCGGACAAGCTGTTCGTCGTGAATGTGCAGATCGGCGAGACCGACAGCGACATGAGGTGAGTGTGCAACTGATGGCAGGCACCCCTCTGGACATTCGTGTCTCTCTGTTCTGTCTCTCACTGTGTGTCGACCAGGTCAGTGGTGTCAGGTGTCCGCGACACCTTCACGGCCGCGGACCTCACCGGCCAGCGGGTCGTACTCATTTGCAACATGAAGCCGGTGAGTGAGTATGGGAGCATACGCAGACAACTCTCTCCAATGAATGGACGTGTGTCGGCTCGTCCAGGTCAACCTCCGCGGAGAGCAGTCCCTCGGCCTCCTGCTGGCAACAGGTGAGGTGCAACAACACACACCAACCCACCTCACGTGATCTGCTTTTTGTGCGGCTAGAGTCCTCCCCCGGCAAGTCGGTGCTGCTGCAGCCGGGCCACCCCATCGGAGGCGACCGCGACACCGCTGCCACGAGCGACAACAGCACTGCGGAATCGGCCAACGGCACGGTCAAGGGCAAGGACAAGTCGGACAGCGTGCCGCACGTCGCAGTGGGCAGCCTGGTGGAGGCGGAGGGCTATCCCTCCATACTCAAGGGGCGCGAGAACCTCACAAAAAAGGATGTCGACGCACTTGCCCAACACTTTAAGGTGGGGAAGGCGGCTATGCAGGCAGGCAGGCAGGCTGTCATGCTGTGTCTCGTCTGTGTCTTGTGCGTCTGAATGGTGTGAGTGGTGTTGTGTGGTGTGGTGTGGTGTGTCAGGTGCTTCACGGTGTGGTGGTCTTCCAGGAATTTCCACTGGTCATCAACCAAGGACCGGGAGGATGCCACGTAAGCAATGCTCTACTAGCTACCTGCCTCACTGCAACAGATCGATCCACACACTCCACTCGAACGCATCCATCCATCTTTCGGCGTCTCTGTGGGCAGGTGGTAGCTCCCGGCGCACCTGACGGGCCCCTCAAGATCAAGTGAAGGAAGGACATCGTGTGTGTGTCTTTTGGTCAAGCGATTCGCATGCCTGTTGGTTGTTTGGTTCGTTCATGCCATGCGTTCCCATCGGTTTATATACGTAAGTGCAGAGATCCATCCATCCATGTGGCTGACGTGTGGCTGACGTGGGCACGTCATGCCTTGTTGGTTCGTGCGCGGGTGTCACGTGATGATGGATGGATGCAGTTTTCCCGCCTAGCCTGCCTGTGCCGTCAAGGCACTGACTCAGTGAAGGGTCTGGGGTCAAAGGGTTTGACGATTTCACAGAACCCTGAGATGCTTTTGTGTTTTCCTCTTTGATTGATGAGCGTGGGATGATGAATGGCACGACCGAGGACGCCTGCAACGGAGCTTCGGTGCCAGTGAAGAAGGAGAAGCAGCCGCAAGCCGCCCAGTCGCCGTCCCAGCGTCCAGCAGCCACAGGAGAGCAGTCCAAGGACACACAGCAAGGCGTGGACACGTCTTCCAACCAGAAGAACGGCGCCGGTCCCTCGGCAGCGGTGAGTAATGGCGCCTCGCAGCCCGGGGCGTCGTTCATGTCAGGTCTGGCGCAGCCGACCACCCACCAGTACCTCAGCATGATGCCCCCGCCGCCGCTCGCACCCCCCCTCCCATCCAACCTCTTCCCATCGGCCTATCTGGCAGCGAATGCGGCTGCTGCCGCGGCCGCTGCCGCTGCGGGTGGTGCTGGTGGGGGTGGGGAGGCGTCTCAGCGCAACTCGGTTGGGGAGGAGGCGATGAACGGCGGCGGGGGGGGCGAGGTGGCGCTGCCGGCGGTGTTCCGACCTAGGCTGTACATTCGCGATGCTGATAGCGGGGTGGAGGGGATTCAGTTTGACGAGAAGGAGCAGGCCTGGGTGAGTGAGCTTGTGCACAGTGCACAACACGACACAGCACATCACAACACGACACGAGCAAAGTCATCGTGTTTGTATGCATCTGTCTGTCATTCTCCCATCCGCCCACCCATCGCTCAGCGTGTGACGGTGCTGTTGGAGAACGGCGTGACTCAGTGCCACTACTTCCAGTGCAAGATGAACGGCGGCATCGAGGCGGCGCTCGAGCACGCCGCCTTCTGGAAGTACCAGCAGGAGATGGAGCGCAAGTACCAATTCCAGCAGCGGGGGGCCACCGGTGCTGGTGGTGGTGCGGGTGGTGGCGGTGGCGGCAGCAAGGCGCAGGAGAACGGAGATAGCGCCGCGGCTGCACCTGACAGTACTTGCAAGTAGGCTGACATCATGACGGCAACGAGTGGAGGAGGGAAATGTGCTCACTTTCTCTCTCTCTCTCTCTCTCTCTCTGTGCGTGTGTGTGTGGTTTCTTGGTTCAGGGATGTCTACTGGGGCGACGCGAACCAAGGTGGTTCACTCACACAGAGCCAGCCAGAAGGACACACCTCGGCCCACACAGCACAGCACACACAGTGTCGCCCGCCCCCTCCTTTCTATCTCCTCTCCTCGTGTGTTGTGTCTTGTGTGCTGTGTTGACTGATCAGCTGGCTGGCTGTTGGCCCATCCTGGTGCGGGCGGGCAACAGGCGGCAGTGACCACGGGCAGTTCGGCAAACAAGCAGACGGCCCACCTGGCGTTCCCCTTCCCCGAGCAGGATCCGGCCTACCCCTTCCTGCCGTCCATACCCATCCCACCACCACTCCTCGGCGGTGGCCCCGGTGGTGCTGCTGCTGGTGGTGACCGGGGCCGCCGCAAGCGCACCAAGCACCAGCGTGGCGACGGGCTGGACAGCGATGGGGGCGGGGGCGGGGAGTCGGGCCAGAAGAAGACCAGCAGTAGCGGTGGGAGGAAGAAGGTGTATAGCGATCAGTACCCTGACGGGCCGCCTGCTAATTGCGAGCCAAACAAGTGAGGGAGATGCAGGGAGGGAGGGAGGGAGGGAGGGAGGTCGCTGAGGCGTGTGTGTGCATGGCTTGGTGTCTTGTGTGTGCACTGCTGCAGGGGCATCCACTGGCGTCCTGACCGTTGCGGTGAGACAGACAGACAGACCACTGCCAACCAACCAGCAAGGACGCACACCGATGGCTGGATGCGCTAAGTCACTCCCCAACATGTGTTTCCTCTCCTCTCCTCTCTCAGCGTGGGTAGTGTCGTTCTACGAGCCGCTGTCTGCGTCGGCCCCTGAGGGCACCAAGCCGGCCCGTCGCAAGCGTCTGTTCCCGGCTCGCTTCCCCACGACGGCCGAGCAGGCCCTCGCGGAGGCCAAGGCGTTCCAGCGGCAGCTCAATTCCGGCGCGTCCATGCCGCCCCCCCGCCGCAAGAGGGGCCGCACCAAGTCAAACAAGACGGGCAACAACACCCAGCACCAGGTCGAGATGGGCGAGGAGGACATGTCGAGCGAGAATCTGGCCCACCACATGCTCATGAGCATGGCGGCCGTCAAGGAGGAGCAGGAGGTCGATCACCCGCTGCCGCACGTGCACGTCCAGATACTGCAGCCCCAGCCCGCTGCACCACAGCCAGGTTCTGAGAAGATGCACGACTGACTGACCGACCGAGTGACTTACCTTACTGACGGCCGGACGGCCATGGGTGTACCGATAAGTGAGCTGAGTGAGCGGGT